TCTATCTTTTGTCTTTGACGTTTCTCCTTTATTTGCCAAAAATAATAAATAAATCCGGATTGCAGGCGGAGAATTTATCTTTTTAATACAGGATTATTCCATATCTTGGATTTCAGAAGATAAATTTTGTATTCTTTATTACGTATTGGATATTTTAGCTCGAAAAGGCAGATCATCTGGTCATAGGTCAGGTTAGGTTAATCTGGCTGGCGTTGAGCCGCACATAGACCGGTAGGTCCTTAGCGTTGCCAGTTGAAGCTAGTTTTTACTCGTTAGAGTAGACATAACAAAGGATGTCAACGCTTTTTGAGAATTTAAGTAGAAATTTCGGCTCTAATTTTGAGATGTCCCCAAACTTCTCAAATTGCTCCACCTGCCCACGCTAGTGATACTCATTTTTTGTGCATGAGCAGCCACCAGGATATGTCCCGTAAGCAATCCGGTAATAACTCTGCAATCTTTCTTTGGTAGCCGTAATAACAAGCGAGTATAGTTGCTTCCGCCGTTTTCGCACATAATATTTGCAGTTATGTAAGTGGTTAACTCATTCTATCAAGCCGTGAACTGCCTAATCATTTTATAGTCTATTTCATTGCACAAGTGTTTAAGTGGTCTACGAATGCAGTTTGTCTGTTGGAAAGTCAGACTGGTGGCGTTCCTGGCAGTCTCATCTGCTATTTCTGTCGGCGGCTAGCCTTTCAATGGCTTCCCGTCTGCAATGGACGTTTATGGATTAAATACTATATGAGGTAACTGCCTTTATTTCTACCTGACTCTCTACGTATAGGTTTACTTTTGAATTGATTGTCGTTTCGGTGTAGGATAGCTCTGCTGTTATCCTCATTGAGAAAAGCTCTGCTTCAAATATGCTGCAATCGTCAGGTAACCTTACTGTCCGCCTGACGTTCAGTTCCCGGCAGTAAATCCCGGCATCAACTCCCGCTACCTTTTTCGAACTGTCCGTGAAAAAGTTTAGGGGTCTGCGGCTGGGTTTCTTTGCCTTGCGCCATCGCTCCTCCTGAACCGTTGTGCGAAACCTTCGATCCCACTTAAAGCTAGGTGTCATGTAGTTCGTGCTGACTGAATTCCTCAGCAGGAGTTTTTAATATAAAAGTAAATTCAAACATTTTTATATCTGCTTTAATAGTAGGAGAGCCCAAGAGGGGATTCGGGGATTTACTCGAGCACGTCTGATTAACTTATTTCATATGTGAATTTTACTCATTTCTTAGCTAAAATCACTAGAAATAAGAATTTGTATGTAAGCAAAAACGCGCATATTTCAGATAATTTTGAACTCAGCAATACTTATACATGAAGAAATTTGAAACTCCGCTCCCTTCTTGCTCACTCTTTATAAAGTATCAACGGACTGAGTGTCCCTTTACTCCTTTACGTCCGTCATCAAGCAATCATGGGCGATCAAAGCACTCATGGTGTTACATGAAATATAGCCTTTGAAGTTTTACTAACTAAGTTTTGTGATTCATGATCAGCGGAAATGGTTATTGTGTGTTGTGTGGATCAAATTCTTGGCAAAAAGCTTGTTGGACTAATCTGGGGAATTTAGGTATAATACCTTGTGAATTCTATAATAACACACTTTTCATTTAATATGTAAAAAAATATTGTCAATTAATTTTTGTTACAGATGGGAAAATGTAATTGACGACCAAGTCGAACCAGACTTGCTGTATGATAGTTGCACGGATAAAATAAAAAGTGTTTACAATAATATACATATCTTTGGTTGGCTGTGCATCTCAGAAACGAAATTTTCTTTTCAAACCGTCAGATTAAGAAAACCCCTCCACATAATCGTCAGATTATTGAACAGCACGACCAGGGCATCGAGATGAACCCTCTGTATGAAAATCTCTCGAGTAAATCCAAAGGGCGATTTTTTTGCACCTTCAAAAAGACGCCACGAGCTTGCGTCACTTCTGAATCGTCAGATTATTCAATGGGAGGTTCATTCGGGTCCATTTAACATCCCTTGTGAATATCTGACGCGCTCGAGTAAATTTTTTTGTCACCCATTATTGACACTTCCGTACGCCCACACCCACCATGCAAACCGGCAGATTAGCATATCTCCGTCATCAGAAACACCTTTGATGTATTCACTATCAATAGGTTTGTTCGTCGAAAATCCAGCAAGAGTTATCCAACACTCAAAATATCAGAGAGTAAGAAAAAATTCTCTCAAATTCTCTCTCATGTTGAGAAACTTGCAAATTTCTGCACGAACGCAAATTTGCAGGAATTTGCAAGTTTCGCTGCCAGCTGGCGTCCACGGTTGCATTTCAAACATAAAAAATTTTTATAGAATTTTTAAAATTCTTTCGGATGGCCAAAAACAGGATATACATGTATATTTCTTGTTGTTCTGACTTTCTTTAACATACATTTCAATTTCTTCATCGTACTAGCTGTCGGGTTTCTTAAATCGACTCTGGTTGCATTTGCATTTCGATTGCGAATACCATTTTTTTCAGCCGAATTAAGTTCAAATCATTGGAATTAACTAAATTAATTATATCAACAATTATTTACTTCCTTTTTTCATAAAAAAATCGCTCGTGTTTATAAATTTTTAAATTTAACGAACTAATTTATTCAAATTATTGTAGACAAAAATGCAACCATGCGCCACAACCACATGTTTTTCGTGTTTGCAAATTCTTGCTGGCAAAATTTTTTCCAGCAAGAATTTGCAACTTCTCTCCAAGAGAACTGTCACTTTGCTCTCACAATTTTTGAGTGTTGGATAATTTTTTGGTCTGCACGAACGCGATTTGGGCAAAAATCGTGATAATTCGTCCAAATTCGTACAAATTTTTTGCTCGACGAACAAACCTAATATCTGAGGCGCTCGAGTAAATCCATGTAACTGTTTTTTTTACATTTTTGGAAGCCTGTAGATCCTCCACCCACCGCTGTAAGGTAAACTTCACATGACCTTTTTTCTTCCCATCACATAATCTTCAAAATCCGCTCCGCAAAATGACGCTCGAGCAAATCCCGATTTAGCATCGTGGGCTCCCCTACTATAAGATGTTCGAATTATATTTCTTTTGTTTCAATATATGTATGTACATATGAATATTTATGTGTATAAACTTGTACTAATGTAATGTAACATATAAAATTGTACTTGCACTAATATGATATTGATTTCACAATAAGTACAATAAGAAGCATTTGCATATACTGACACTTTCTCTTGTTTATTATTACTTAAAAAGTGTTGTCATAACCAGGGTTGCCACCAACGAAAAAAATACTATCCATCCACTTAAAAAAATCTACCAAATCCGGAAAATATCTACCAATAACTTTTTTAGTTTATTTTAATAAAAACCATAGTTTTGTTCTATCTTTTTAGTTATTTCAATAAAAATTTTAAGTTCTTATTAACGAACTTTTTTTTTAACTAATGGTTTGCTATCTGAGATCATATTAGTGGCATCTTATCGGTTTTCTTCCGAGAGTGACGAAACTAAAGGCAACAACGAAACTTTATTATTTAAAAAGAACTTCAACTGCGTTATTATAGACTCAGAAAACCACTTGGTATTTTTTTAATATTCACAATGTTTTTCAAGTAAATTTGTTTCTTTTTTTTTGTACACTGCTGAATATAACTACAGACGCTTTTTTATGTTTACGGCGCATTAAAGAAATTTAGGAAAAAATTGCTAATGCCATTTAACGACCCTTTACATTCATTAACTAAAATGTCCGAATCTATTTTTAAAAAAAAATAAAACACGGCAATCAAAATTATTTTTAAACGTGCATGCCAAGTTTGTTAATCACGTTGCTTTTAAAATAACGATTTATTTTTGACATTTCCTTAGTTTATTTCACAATGCTGTTCCGGGTGCAGGAATCAGACACTGAAAAGGATAAGACATAGCATTTCGCGAAGATAACACCCAAATTTGCGAAATAAATCGAAAATTGGCACGATCGGACAAATTAGTACGAGATTTTTGAAAGATTTACAGCCTCATTCCGTTTAACAATATCGTGTCCAAAACGATTGTCGTTCGTGTGTTCGTAGCATTATTAGCAATGCGATAAGCAAAACGATATCCAAAGCGATAACAGCTGACTCTTACGTGTCAGCGTGTAATAAGCAATCTCTATCACGAACAGCTGCCGCGGAAGCGAAAACAAATTGTCAAAAATAAACAAAAGGTTAGCTTCCTCATTTTGGTGGGGAATATGGAGAATACAAACAAAAATGTAAATGAATTTTTAAAATATTACCATAACGCATGATAAGAGTTTACAATTATATTTAAAGATGCAAAAAAAAGACCACGAGCACCCAATTTCAAATGTTTGTAAACGAACTGGAGGCGAATGTAGAACTCGCGAGAGGAGCACCTGTATATGGAGCAAACAAGACGACGTTTGAAGAGCAGTGGCGCAAAATCGCTGAAAAGGTGAATTCGACCGGTCCATATATTAGGTATTATATATATTTTCGTTCTTTGCAAGTCTTACCTTTATTTTATTGCACAGATATTTGTCGACCTCAAATGCCGCACAAAAAAAAACTTGCAGAAAATGCTCAAAATATAAGTGCTAAAGGCGGCGGTGCTTTCCGGCAGTCTCCGTTCACCGAAGTGGAAGAAGCTATCGACCGCATACTTGCTATGGCCAAGGGAGCAGCTCCAAGCGGGATTATACTTGGTGTGTCAACTGCCTCATCCACAACATTATTGACATCAGCAGCAACAAATAATACTATTCAAACAGCAAGTCCAGAAACAAATGCAATAAGAGCTGTAGAAAGTGCAACACCGTCAATGACATCATCGACACCAGCAGCAACAACTATTTAAACAGCATGTCCAGAGAGAAGTACATACATACATACATAAAATGTGAAGTTACATAAAAAAAAGATGCTTTTATTATTGCACTCGTTTTTACCAACTTTTTAAAAAAAGGTGCATATGTCGTCTCGAATTCGAATTGCTATGGAATGATAAGCTTTGTTCTTCCCCTCCTCCTGGCGGCTTTCATTTGCGTTCAAATCTTCCACTCTGCAGCAAATGCAAATGTTGTGGAGTGATCAAACAACGTTTATAATTTCACTGGCTTTGAGCGATGAGTAACACAGGTCAAGGTGAATTTCTTATGACTCTTCACTAATCAGGAAAAGATCAAACATGTCCCTAAATCTCCGCCTTTCAATTACCGCATCAGCATCAGACTCGTTCTCCTCTTCAAGCAATAACGCCGCGGCTATGGAATTCATTTTTATAATTATGTTTCCACTTAAATTAAGAGCAAACGAAATTTTATTTTTAAATTACAGTGATGCTATATATATTTAGTTATTTTAAAATATTTACAAGCTTTAACTTCATAAGCTGCTATAGTTTGGAGGCAAATATTTCTTTGTTTTGTTTCGATTTCACACATTAATTGGCAAACAGCTGATTTCGAAAGATGTTTTCTCTCTTCCTTTTCTTCTTTCGATTCGATCGTTACTCAGAATATCTAAGTTCGATTCTTGCGGAGCGGAATGCGGGAACGTAATCGAAATGCAGAATAAGGCTGATTAAGAACAGAAATTACTACACCGCCAATGCCATCATCGAAGGTAGCTTATCCCAGAACAGCCTCTCAAATAAGTGTAGTGACGCCAAACAGAAGGCAACGTCAAACGGCAACAAG